CCTTGACTACTAGCATCAGTATGAAGTTCTAATGGATATCCTTGCCTAAATATGTGTAGAACAGGTGCCTGAGAGAGAATTTCTTTTAATCTGCAAAAAGCTTCCTGTTGTTCGGAATCGAACTTAAAACCAATACCTTTTCTAAGTAAGTCACTAAGAGGTTTAGCTATTTTAGCATACTGAGGAATGAATTTACGAAAATATCCCGTTAGTCCTAAAAAGCTTTGTAGTTGTTTACAGTTACGCGGTTGTGGAAAGTTTCGAACAGCAACAGTTTTGGAAGGTGATGGTCGAATAGTTCCGTTTTCAATTACATGTCCCAAAAATTCAATTTTACGTTTTAAGAATTGGCACTTTTTGAAATTTATTTGTAATCCATACTCCGAAGCAGTTTTGAATACTCTTTCTAATTTGTCTAAACATTCAACTTCATCATTAGCCGGTATGACTATATCATCCATATAAATAATTAGTACACCTTCATTTAACAAGTCACGAAATACTGAATAAATATACCTTTGAAAAACATTTGGACTAATACATAAACCAAAAGGAGCTTTAAGAAATTCGTAGATACCATTATGTGTTACAAATGCGGTATATTTGGTGCAATTTTCGTCTATGTCTACATGGAAAAAGCCATTTTTCAAATCTAGTGTCGTGAAGACTTTTGACTGTTCTAAGCGATCAAGTACTTCCGGAATTAAAGGCAGTGGAAATTTGTCTTTAATAATCTTCTTATTTAATTTCCGATAGTCCATACATAAACGTTTCGAATTATTCACGCTTGTTACACAAAACAATAGGCGCCGAATAATTAGAATTGCTAGGCTTTATTATGCCCTCTTTCAACCATTCCTTAATTTGATCGTCAACAATTTTTTGTTCCGCGAAAGACATGTATCTTCTATTTTGACAGACAGGAATATCATCGCATAAATTTATTTGCATCTTGAAGTCAGATTGTCTATTTTTCCGAGGCTGGTACGAATTAATTAAATTACACAGTCTTTCTTTATGTTCTGCATTCGAAATATGCGATAAATCAATCTCGTTGACAGAAATAGCATTCACCAGATGTGAAAGGTAATAAGACTCGCTTCGGGTTTTTGTTACATAACGGAGAGTCGCCAGGGATAAAACAGGGCAGTATTCTTGTTCACGCTCGCCGAGCGAGCCTAATGGGGGACGTAAAGGCATATCGACGTCACTGGATGCACCTGTCGATTTCCCGTTTAAAAGAGTTTCATTGAATGCGAGGGATTTTTAGAGGTAATATCCCAAATTAATTTTAATAAATATATATTTGTTTTCTAATAATGTATATATTTAAAATAATTTATATATATGTAATTTAGTCAGTTTTTATTTTAAATTCTATATTAAAGTATCGTTACGTAATATGGCTTTTTGCGCTGCAGTAACGTGCCGTAGCACTACAGAAGTATGAAAGGATGAGATATTTATTCATGGGACCAAAGGATCCAAATGAGAGTTTGCTTTTGACGAAAGAATGGATACACAAATGTCAAAGAGAAGATTCTATTAATGTTGTAGGGTTTATATTTATTTTAACTAGCATTTATTTTAAGTTTAAACTACCTTTCCTGTCAAGCCTTACTTTCCCCTGGAACTGCCAATGCCAGAGTATGTAAATTTTAGTAGAACGCGCAAGGATTCAAATTATCAGCCTCACTCTCTAAGAGCTGTTCGGCAGCTACTGTGCGATGACATGGTGCATTATCGTCCATGAAAAGGAACTGCGGACCCATAGCGCCTCTAAAAAGACGCACATATGAAGAAGAATCTCGTTACAATAACGGGTCCCGTTGACTGAACCTGGTCGAAGATGTGAAGGTCTGTACGACTACCAGCATGATGCCTCCCCAAACGAGAACACCGCCACCCCCATACCTGTCACTTTCAATGATGTTAGAGGGATGATTGCGGCTTCCCCGCTGTCTCCAGATGAGTAAATGATGAGAATCGCTACGCAGACTGAATCTGCTCTCATCTGTAAAGACTACTCGTCCCTATTCATTGTCTCTCCAATTCCGGTGTTCCCGGCACCACAGAGAACGCCTTCTCCGATGGGCAGGCGTTAGAGGTACACACCGTACAGGGCGTCGTGCAAACAGACCACCACCGTGCAGTCTTTGGCACGGCAAAACGCGATCGGTCGTCCAGTCGCCTGTGTCGTGTGTCTAGCGATTTCCCCGCTGTCTTCCGCCTGTTTCTTCTGGCCTGTAAGGCAATATACCGGTCATCGCGGGGTGGTTCCTCGTGGACGACCACTACTAAACCCCCGGATATGTTCCTGTAGTTGAAATTGTCTCCAAAGTCGTGAAACGATGCTGTGAGCAATTCCGAACTCTGCAGCCACACTTGTCACACTGAGGCCTTCCGCCAACTTCCCAATGATTCGACCCGGTAAAAGCAGCCAGATGTCGTCTAACAGATGATTATTCTCCATTTCTCGCTGAGGCAGCAATCGGTGTGATTTTGACTGCTATACGGCGTGCAATCTCTTTGCTAGAAATACTGATCTACCCGACAACATGCTTTATACTACTCAGACACTCCCCCATTACGTCTACTGCATATCTGCGCATGTGCTACCGTACATCACCTTACTTAATCTCCTGATTGGTCTTTCTGTCCGCTCTGCCTCTTCGTTGAGCTGATATGCTAATTTTTCGACTTCGTCCTTAATTTTTGCACACCAGTGTATGTGAAAAAGTGTTTTCAACTATGAACCTTAGAAAGAATTATTTCAGAAGTAGACTGACAGATGAGCATTAAGCTTTGTTCCTTAGAATCAATACATCTCATTTCGAAACTCAATATAAGGAACTTTTAAAAATGAAATATCAATTTCACTCATCTCAGTAACATATTTTAAATTGTAATATTTATATATTGTTTTAAATTTTAGAAAATTTATCTTGTTCCTCCAAACTTTTTTTTATCGATTTGCTAGAGGATCATTCTCCTTCCTTTCCCATACTCAAAAAATACATATGCATTTATTTAAATTTAGATTATTATTTAATGTATTTTAGAAATTAAACAAGGAAAAGTAGAGAAAATGTTGATGAATACCAAAACCTGAATAAAGTATTTTTTTTTATTCATAAACTAAAACTAAATAATTAACAGGTAAATAAAAAGCTGACCACATTCACCCTGAAACTATGAAATTCCCCCTTGCCCCAAGGGAAGTCCCTATGGTTGAGAGCTCCTGATCTAGAAAGAAAGTATTTCTTTTCCATCAGTTCATTCTGTACAAAAAGCGCAATAATAAATTTTGTAAAAATATGATAGATCCAAGCTAAATGTTAATAGTAATAGTTCAAAATTATAATATTGTATGACCATTATAATTTTTTTGAGTATATATTATTTTATCAGTATTGAAATCAGAAAATTTTCTTATTCAGCAAGCAATTTAAAGTCATAAATTAAATTTTTGTATTTTAAAATTTATGTTCTATTTATATATACCTTTTAAGAGTAGGTTAAAAATACAATATGAAGAATAAAAAATCTGATGTGTACACCACATGACTTCCTTGTACGGAATATTAAATTATACGCATTTGTTTCTCGCATTTCTTTTAAACTTATTGGATTTAATTAAATCTACTTCGCCGACAGCGCATAAACCACAATAGAATAAAGGCATTCTTTAAAATTCACTCTATTTGTTTAACATAGGGACACTCTGGCACTAGGTTCACTTAACAGTATTATATTTCATTCATATTATAATCCAGAATGCACAAAATGTATATCATTTAAAGAATTACCTAATCGTTGCCACATGTTCTTTTCAAATACTATAATAAAGCTATAACGATGTAAAAAGAAATTAAGCAACAAAAAAAAAAAAAAGAAACAGTTTTTCACAGACGATTGAGTATTTCTCATTCAATTAATTCAGTTTCACTTCGCGACAAGGACAAAAATACATAAAAAGCTCAAAATATCTGTATTAAAAATTACTAATTATAAAAATTAAATTACTAATTAATAAAAATTAAGTAAATCTTAACACTTATTCCTCGAAAAAATTCCAGAAAGGATTAAGCATGATTTAATTCGCAATAATAAATGAAGGCGTTATTTTGTTGTTGCGAAGCTTAGTTCTCCAGATTGGCAACAAATCTACAATTCTGCTGTTTCCAAATGTAAACAATATGTCCGCCATGTTATTTAAAACTTAACCGCACTTAAACAGCTTTTAAATTGTTGATAATTGTACAAATATTGCTTCCAGAATTACGAAAGGCATAAAAACCTTAACCGGAAGATGAGAACAACATAATTCAATCATTTTTAAAGCAAAAAATATACAATTTACAAACATATAAGAGTAAAGAAACTGAGATCACTGTGCCGCGTAACAGAGTGGATATATATATAAATATAGTATTTATATACGTTCGGTGCGGCCGATTGCAACCAAAATACGAGGTGCCCATCTACATGTTATAGCAGTCCTATATACAAAATTTCAACGTTCTGAGGCTACTCGTTTTTGAGTTATGTGAGATACGTACGTACATACGTTCGTACAGACGCCACGAAAAATTCTCTTCAGAATTAATTTTAAAGCAGTTTTATAATTTTTTTTTTGAAGGAAAAGAGTATTTTATTCTGTCCTTACGTACAGATATCACGCAAAAACATTGTTAAATTGCATTCGATAGCGGTCAAAATGGATATTTTCGTTGAAATATGCTGCCTGAACCTTTTCGCGATTACAATACTTCCTTTTTACTTCGTACAAGGAAGTAAAATGTGTTAAACATTATTATAGTTTTATAGTGCAATATTTTATAAATAAATTTTTATGCAATAAAATGAAATAGTAATCCATTTTAAAACACGAAAGAAATTTGTGAAGAATAATTAAAAAATAACATGAAGCTGATAAAATATTAATAATTATTTTAAAATTTCAAATTTGTTTTTTATGTCTTAATCTTTCTTTCCAGGACTGAATGCAGTGAATATCAGTTTAGACACTCTTGTGCCAGCAAAGTTTGAATTTCTGACTCGTCGTAAAGGTTGGAATAATGTAATGAAAAGTATTAATTCATGTTTAGATCAAGGGTTCAATCCAGTTAAGGTATAGTTAGCTAATATAGAAAGTAGTTATTGATTTATTAATCATAAAGCCATATTCAAATTGAAAGATTTAGTTCTTTAGTAAAAGCCTTGATGATAATAAAGGTATTAAAATAAGATGTATCTTTATTATAGATAAACTGTGTTGTCATGAGAGGAATAAATGATGATGAATTAGGATCATTTGTAAGAATGACAGAAAAAATGGTATTTGAAAAAAAAATATTTTGTAAATGATATTTATTTAAATTTTCATTTGATTTTCATTGTTTTATTATCATTTCCTAGAATATAGATATCCGATTCATTGAATATTCACCCTTCAATGGCAATAAGTGGAATAAAAATAAATTGGTACCATACTTTGAAATGGTTAGCAGAATCAAAAATGAATTTCCTGAGCTGCAGCGCATAAAAGATCAGTCTCATGACACATCAAAAGTAAGCAACACAGTCCGGAAATTAAATTTTGCTATTTCTATCTGACTGTAATAATAATATAGTAAAAAATAAACTTAACCAGTGGTCTTCAAACTAGGAATTGCAGACCATTTTGGGGCCAGAAAATTTTTTTTGAAGGGTCACAAAGTTACTAAAATCTGCATAACAGGGGTCCAAACATATTATGAAATGCATATTCCTGATGTCGCAACATAGCATGAGCATTTACAGAGAGTGTTCACACATTTTTGCAACGATTTTGCAAAGATTTATATATAAACAAACCTTAGAATTTTATTTTGTAATATGTTCAGTCTGATATTCCTTTTGTTGAACTATCATATTAGGTCTCATATTTCCAAGATAAAAGTCCTTTTCTTAAAACATTAAGGTTAATTTTATTCCACTTCTCTTTCACAGTCTTCCAGAGTCCATCTAATATTTTGGGCTTATGTCGCTTATAAGAGCTTCTTTTAAAAGTCTTAATGCACAGTAATCCACGAGAGGATTTGACAAAAATTTGACACATCAGGGAATTTAGCTGGGATGCATTTAAAGAAAATAACTTCAATTCGGGTTTCATATCTCATTTTTTTTCAAAAAATAGAGCTGTAGATTTAGAGCTATGGCTTGGAGCCTTATCCTGATGGAACTTAAGACAGTGATGATTGTTTGCATAAAGAAAAATAGGTGTGTTAAAACATATTTCTGATTGTAATACGAATTCATTTTGACTTTTTTCCTACTTTCTTTATTTTAAATTTTCTGTCATAAGGGAATCCAGTAATTACCATAAAACCTTTAGAAAAACTTTCCTTGTTTTCTGTAAACCAACATATTGAGTCTTTTTCTCATCTTTTTTCGGTAGTAAATTGATCTTTTTCTATTGCAATCAGATAAGTATGTCCAATATGTATCAATTATAACTATATATTTCTATTTTCCACCTGCTAAACAATTTTCACACAGCAATCTGCACATATTTTTAAGCTGAGAAATAAGTTTCGGCGTTAGGAGATGAACATCATGTTTTTTTTTTTTTTTTTTTTTTTTGTTGAGTAGCTTTAAATCAGATTTTATAATTTTGTTCTCGGTGCTTATAGAGATATGTAAAGATTTTGCATTAGCTCTTTGGGGGGCTGAATTTTCCTTTAAAACATTAGATGCGACTTTAGATTTAATAAGAGCTTTACCTTAGTTGGGTATGCACTTTTTTTGCCTTTTCCCCAGTCAGATGTAAACTTTGACGTTTATTTTCTTTCACATTAATTAGGTCACTTATTTTACATGTAGAAATATTAAACCATGCTTTTCACATCTTTTTTTAATAATTGAATAAGAGTATTTTTCTTCGGACAGCGTAAAAATATAGCCTTCGGTCTGTTGTTTATTTTTCAACGACATTTTTAAGAAAAGAATATTTTTAATGCTGCAGACAATAACTAAACCTTATTCCAATTTGATGCCAGTTATATTTATATTTTAACATTAATATTCAAATTCATGGAGAAGATCAAAATCGTTACAAAAATGTGTAAACACCCTTTGTAAAATGGGTTTGTTGTCTTAAAAAGTTTGAGAACCACTGACTTAAACTAATTTGTTGCATTATCAATATACTAAATATAATAATGTAATTTTTAGAGTGTCCTGTATCATTTTTATAATTAGGCAAAATTCAGCCTTAGTCTGTTTTTAGCTTCTGTTTGTATTTTGAGGAAATTTGATATATATCCCTCTTTGGGAACACCCCAGACAAAGAAATTATATTAGGTGTTCTAAAAGCTAATTAGTTTGATATAATGCATTCAGTGAAGCTTGAAGATTTTTTGTGTGTGGCGTGGTGGTGGGGGTGGGGGATGTTAAATGAGCACATTCAACTCAGTTACACAAAGAACAATTTAATACATTTCTTTTATAAAATAACTTCTTAATATATAATAAATTTCTTAATTTTTTTCTATTATAAAAATTCTGGGGTGCTAGTATTATTAGTAAAATAAATATGTATAACTTTACGCAAAAAGTTTTAACACAAATATTACAGTTGCCCAAACTATTGTTGCGTGCGTACGGGTTCGTAATGGATTGAATGCACAAGTCGATAAAAAGTTAATAAAATCTATTCTTATTCCAAGAAGTAAAACAAAATGCTGAAATTTCCTCAGAGACATTCGCACAATATCACAATATTTCGCAGCAGTTATATTTTAAACTACTACAACGTTATATAAAACACAATTCAAAGCAGAGAAAGGTAATCCGATCTCACCGCGAATTCGCTACAGTCAAGAACAAGAACCAAGTAAACAAGTGAATTGAGATGTTTTCTTTTGGCTTTTTAAACAGGCCCGAGAACATTCTGGTAATTTGTATTTTCTCGAGGTTTCCGGAAAGCAAAAGAAATAGCCATAGTAGCCATAGTAATGAGCTAACCTCTCGTAATGAACAACTTAAGGCTTAGAGTTCGATGACTTACGTATCCGAACTACGATGTCGTTCAGCCTGTTTAGGACTGTGTACGGACTATCCCAAGGTGACTGTAGTTTCGAACAGAGGCCTTTCCGTTGAGTCATATTCCACAACCACACCTTGTCTTCTTCACTGAATCGATGTCCAGTAGCTCTGATGTCATATCGGGTCTTATCTTCTCCGTCACCAAGTGGATTCGCTCTCGGGCAAAATTGTGCATCACTTCAAACCGAGCCTGAAGATCTTGGATGTATTCATCAGGCGATGAAGGCGCATCCGGAGGGCGACCAAACAAGAGTTTACAAGGCAGATGAAGGTCACGACCGAAGAGCATCTGGGATGGGTAATAGCTGGTAGTCTCGTGGACAGCACTGCGGTAAGCCAGTAAAAGCAGTGGTAACTTCTTGTCACAGTCCTGTTTGTTTCTGGAAACCACCAATGAGAGGTTATTAAGGATGGTTTGATAGAACCTCACTACCATGCCATTCGACTGGGTATGTAAGGGAGTCATTTGGGTTTTGTCATTGCCGAGTAGCTTGCAGAGTTCTTTGATTACAGCCGAGGTGAAATTCCTTCCCTGATTGGAATGTAACTAAAGAGGTACTCCGAACCTGGAAATCCAGTGCTGTATCATCATCTCTGCTACTGGGAAATCCTCTTGATCATGAATAGGATATGTTTCAGGCCACTTGGTGAAGTGATCAATGACAACGAGGATATATTTGTTGCCATCAGCAGTTCGTGGCAGATTCTCCAAGATGTTAAAGGCGATACGTTCAAAAGGCGCTCCCACATTGTAACGTTGCAGCTTGCCTCGGCTGCGTTTCCTCGCTCCTTTCCGACGCGCACAGGCATAGCAAGATCGGCACCACTTTTGCACGTCATCCTCTGCGTTACTCCAGTAGAAGCGTTCTAGAACTCTCTGCAAGATCTTTATTATTCCGAAGTGATCTTCTATAGGGCTGCTATGCAGTTCTTTAAGGACGTTCGGGATCCGGGATCTTGGAGTTATCAACTACCAACGGGATACCCTTCCATCCTCTGATTCGAATTTCCGGTATAAGACGCTGTTTCGAATATGGAATGAGTCCCCAGGGAGCCCAATATCGTTTTGTCGTAGGAATATAGATTGAAATGTTCTGCCAGGTAGAAAATTGTGTCTTATACACTTGCCAAGAGGACTTTGTATCATATATAGGTAGTTTTAGAGAGAGATGAACAGGCATCTGTAAAAATTTAAAATTATCTGTACTGCTCCCTGCCGTCGCTACGAATTTCTTTAAAGTATCGACCGTCGCTACGAGTTTCTTTAAAGTATTCTTTAAAGTATCGTAAGTTTGGCGACCGCAGTAACCCTGTCATCAATTTATTATTCTACGGCAGAAACTCTGCCTTCTCTTTGTTCTTTTACTGAAGAAACTCTTTCTTCAATGTGTCCAACTTTATTTTCAACCGCGTGAATGCTGCCTTCCATAGCCTCGAATTTATTTTCTATTATGCAGGTAATTTCTCTTTTCATTTCTTCTTCACCTGCTTCAGTCTTTCTTGTATGGCTTTCCTCTCTTCTTTAACTGATTTTTGACCAGCTCCCATATTTTCTTAACCTGATATCATCTCGTCTTTAAACTACTAAAACGTTATATAGAACACAATTCAAATCAGAGAAATCCGATCTCTCCGCGAATTCGCTACAGTCAACAACAAGAACTAAGTAAACAATTGAGTTGAGATGTTTTCCTCCGGCTTTCTAAACCTTTTTACACATGCACGAGAACATTCTGGTAATTTGTATTTTCTCGAGCTTTCTGGAAAGCAAAAGACTACAATTACGAGATATCTATTTATTACATGTTAAAAGCGCGTGCTCCTGTATTTTAACTTTTCCGGCGTAGATATCTCTTCAGATAAGACTCGCGCTGCACTGCACGGGGATGTAAAACAATTTTATATAATTCTATTAAAAATAGCTAAGTAAATGCAAAATCCGTAACAATATTATTGAAAGTAATTCAAATGCCATATATTAAGCTCTGAGTTATTATTATGCTTTGAACCATATTTTTAATAATAGTAAGTAAGGAAAGGGGGTCTTGTTTTCAAGCCTCCTTTTTTGCTATACTTCTTTTCTAAAATTTGGTAGTCTTATAATTAGATAATTTGATATCCGAAATTGCAGGATGAAAGGAAGAAATTGGATTATCATGCTATATAGAATAAAAATTCTATTTACATAAGTCATTACTGTATATATAAACTGCACAACTGTTGGTAGTTATGATAGTTTTATCTAGCTAAGTACTTTCAGTTTAGTCATACAGCCACTTTACTAATCACTGTATGCCTGAAAAATGGGCAAAGATATTTTTGGGTCTTAATTAATAATACAGTTATTTCAAGAAAATTCTGAAGGGAGGTTTAAAAAAAAAATGAAAAGAAGTTTCTTCTTTTTTTGGAATAAGTGTGAGGTAAATATTCGCACACATTTTTATTTCTGAACATGTAACCTAAAGTGCAGAGAAATCCTTACA